TTTTAGATATGTTATAGTATTATTTTTTTAAGATTGTTTTATATTTCTTTTCTTTGGTTGAAAATTTTGATTAATATACTCTCTTTTTTTTAAAAGTAATATTTGTTGAGTTGACAAAATAAAAATTAGTTATGAAGTTTATCGCTATCATATATGTCTAACTTTTACTAACTTAAAGTAGAAATCGTTGTTACTTAAGTTTTATTTATTTATTTATTTAAAACTTTTACAATGCTTAATTTATTTATTTATTTATTTGGTATAGCAGTAACATATTGAATGTTATTAATTTACGGATCTAGCAAGCCTTCTTTATTTGCTTAAGAAGGTAAATTTCTATAATAATAATTAAATTTTCGAGATAATTATTTTCCTTTATGAAAGTAAGTAAATCCAGCAAAAAAATGATTTAAAAACACCTGTTATTAATGCTCAACAAATCCAAATATTTTAGGGGCAATTAATCATAAATACTTTTATTTAATGACAAAAAAACCTATACATATATGGTCCAGTCAATGACAAAAAACATATACATATAGGTCCCAGATGTTGCAGAAATTGCAGTTTACACATACAATAATTAGAGATGTGTGTCTATAGATTTTTATTTCAAAATTAGAAATAATAAGTGATTTTTCTAAAAAAAATATGAATTTATTATTTATTAAGTTTTGTTATATATTATATTTAACTTATTTGAAGAAAAAAAAACATGTTTTTATGCGGTTTTAAAATTTTTAGGTAAAGACAATTCCTTTTTAGTGAACAATTTAAAAATTATTTTAAAGCAAAATGAAAATCAGATAAAAAAGTATTAGACCACGATCTAAGTTTATAAGTTATTACAAATGTTAAATGACTATATCAGGAAATATTTGTTCAGTTGTTTGAAAGGGTTATATTTACATAACTTTTTAAAAATAAGAAGAAAATCTAAATAGTAATCTAAAAGGGGGACATAGGTGTAAAACAACAAAATTTGACTCACAAGTCTAATTAAGTTATTGTTTGACAGTAGATTTTGAATTAGATCTAAAAAAATACATCTTTTAATATTTATTTGACCAAAAAAATTGACTAGATTCTAAAAATTTATCCATTTTTAAAAAAAATTACAGTTCCATCCGTAAAACTTCAAAAAAAATTATAAGTAAAATGCATGTACAAAACTCAACTTCAACATTTGGAAAATTCAAAAAATATATGTAGTTTTCATAAATTGACTAAAATTAAATCCGTTTCGAAACAAATTTCACTTTCACTCAAAAAATTTCAAAATAAAATATAAACAAAATGCAAACACATAAGTTAATAAATCATGAGAGTCCTAAATTTGCACGACATTTTAAAAATAAGAATAAAATCTAGATAGCAATCTAAAAGGGGGATATATGTGTAAATCAACGAAATTTGACTTATAATTCAAATAAAAATAGTGTTTGATTGTAGATTTTGAATTAGATTTTAAAAATGTATCTTTAAATATTTATTTGATCAAAAAAATTGACTATATTTTGAAAATTTATTTGTTTTGAGAGAAATACAGTTTTATGACTCGAAAAAAGAATATAGGTAAATTATATTTTCATACTAGACTTCTAAAAAAATTATCTTCAAAATATTTGTAGTTTTCCGAAATTGACTCAAATTAAACTCATTTTGGAAGAAATTTCACTTCCACTCATAAAATTTCAAAAGAAAATCTAAACAAAATACGAATGAAGATTCAACTTCAGATTTTAAAATTTCAACTTCAAAATTTATAACCAGATAAAAGCTAAATGTCTTTCCGTTCAAACACAACAAATATCATCTATAACATAACCTCATATACTATTTTTTTTAGAAAAAAAAACTCAAATCTAAATCATGTCCAAACACATAAGTTAATAAATGATGAGAGTCCTAGATTTTCAAAATTTACAAAGTTATTATCAATTGATAGCAACAATACTAGTAGGACTGAAATTTTTTGATGTGGTCCTTCACTGCAAAAAAAAGTATAATTAACTCAAAATTTGAGAAAGGTGAATAATATTTCTTCTTTTTGTATCTTTATGGTTAATGTCTTTGTCTATTTAAAATGAGAACAAGAATTGAAATTGTTCTCAAGGTTGAGAAGGTTATATTGAACTGCATGAATTTGGTGGTCCTAATTGAAAATACATTTCATACTTTGTCCTCACATATGGGGTCGATATTTTCTCATTTTCTCCTCTTTTATTACTTTTCGTTAGTAGTCACATTTCGATGTATATTGCTACGTGTAACTTCATTTACTTTGTACCATGCTATTTTAATATATTGACATAATTTTCTTTTGATTCTGCTTTCAACATATTTTTTCTGAGTCGATAATCAATCAAAAATAATCTTTCTATACACAAAGATAGAAAATAGAGATAAAGTTTGTGTACGATCTAATCTTTTCAGACCCTACTTATATAATTACACTGAATTGGATATCAATTTATAAACTTTGGGTCTCCAATGGAGATTTTTTTTTCTCTCTTCTATTTGTTTAAGTTATGAAAATTTAGTCAATATACTATGTAATAAATGGCTTAGATATGAATATAATAATTTGGAGTGGACTTCTATGGATTTGCTCATGTTGGGTCATCAACTCATTGTATTTGAATTGGGCCAAATTCATAATTCTTTCTATTTCGAGCAGTCACTATTGATTTGACACCCGTATTTTCTTCAACCGACATTAAAACTTTTACAAATTAATATATATCGTTAGAAAGGTCTTCCCAATGATACTAAAACACCATATACACGGTGATAAGATGGTTGAAAATAGGGGTGTTTATCGTATTTTTCACAAATCTTGTCTCTTGCAATCTCTCTCTATCGAAAATATGATTTTCAATAAATTTTTAACTTGGTGAAAAATATATTTCTATCATGCTCCGATATTAATGAAGGAAGAACTTGGAAATATACGCATAATTAAACAAAACATGCCTACATCAGTGATTCTATAACCGTTTGAATAATATTAATTGTATCAAGAGTTTTTTTATATATATAAAAAAACATGTGTGGTGTATTGTATAATTTACGTTGCATGCACTCTATATTTCAAAAGACTCTGTTCAAATCCTATTTGATAGAATTTCACTGAATTTATTAGTGTTATTTGTTAGAATACCAAATGTGGTGTCCAAAATACCTTTTTAAGTCCCTATTTGTATAGTAAAAAAATAATGTGATATTATGTCTTCTTTAACACCAATTCTATTAAAAGAGTTTCACATTTTAATTCCCACTTTATTAATTAAAGAGTTACATAACACTTTGTTGTGTGTGTTATAGAAAATATTCTCATTGTCTTCACAACTTTATCATGTTCATTCAATATTTACCAGTACAAAATATAGGTAGCAAGAGTTATTAAATAATTAAGGCAAACATTAAAGAGTCACACAAGCCAACTCCTAAAATTGATTGTTGAGATTGTTGTTACAAATAAACTCCACTACTCTCAATTGAATTAAACACACCTCTATCAATCACCAAATGACGTGTTATCATGGATGAGATTAAATATAAAAAAATTCTCGATAGAAAACATTTTTCATACATAAACTTATGTTTTTGCAGATTAAAAAAACACCTTCACCATGTTTTCATTATTCAATTAATTTTTTCATAATGATTTTATTACTAATTATATGTTAATATTCCAAATTCCAAAGTCTTAATTACTTTCCTTTTATGAACAAACAAGAAGATTGAAGCAACCAATTCCACATTAGATTATTCAAAAATATGAGACCCATAACTTTCATTTTTTTAAAAAGGAAAATGACAAATATATCTTTAAATTATCGTAAATGATATGTAAATATTTTTCGTCATATTTTTAGGACATTGATGTCTCTGCCGTCCATGAACTAGAGCATATATTCTCTTCATTCTAATTTCTAACAGAAAACTAAATATAGGAATACATGGCGCAATCTTATCCATCGATAAATGTCGGGTCAATAGATAAGATTATGACACGTGTATGTCTGATAGTATAAAGAATATACATGTTTTAGTTTTTGAATGTCGGGACAGCAATGTCCCTAAAATATGACGGAAGATATTTGCATACCATTTTTACGATAGTTCATCTTTTAAGTAAATTTGCAACGAATGTTATTGTTTAGCTATAAAATTGATTCTTCATTTAACTTTTTTTTCTTCGTACTGTTCATAACATATAAAATGATTTGACAATTATCCATATTATCTTATACTGTATTTTGATTATCACATTATTTTTACTATTAATATTGTTCTTTTCTCTATTATATTATACTGTATTTTGATTATCACATTATTTTATTATTGATATTGCTCTTTTCTCGTAAGCGCTAGTAATTTCTCTATTTACATTAAAAAAAATTTCTCTATATTGTTTTTACCTATGCTTTTAAAATGCAGTAATGTAAAATACAAAAGAAAGTTATATATATATAGACAAAAAAGATGGAAAACCTTACATTGCTATTTTACTTTATTATTACAAATAAAAGATTACAATTTTCACAGCATTTTTTTTACCACCCATATATTCCTAAATATATATATTTTTAAAAAAAAAAATGAAAACAACATCTTGCTATAAATTAAAATCCCCCACCCCTAAAGAAAAATACAAGAAAATAAATATTTATGAAAACCAAAATATAATTATGGGTCTCATATCTTCATTTAGAGTTCGACGAATCTTAATAATTTTATATTTATCATAAAAAGAAATATTTAATTTACATAAATTATTCGTAATTCAGTAACTTAAAAGAATTTAATTTCTTAATCATAACGTTCAAAAAATATGATTAGAAATTTTTAGCACTTTTAAATTACTAAATTATATATTAATAATTTATGTTATTAAATAATTTTTAAAAAAATAAATGCAAAACTAAATAAACTTACCGATTTAATAGAATTCTTAATTCTAGCTCCACCTCAAATTGTCAGTATTATTTTCATGTTAAACACGCGATCACCACCCTCCTCTACCGCCATTATCACCGCCGCTCTATAAGAACGGCGACTCAGCTCCGGTGACTCCGGGATTGACGGAGAAAACACAATGCCAGATCTCCGTAAAAGCTCTAACAATAATTCCATGGTAATACGGAGAATTCAGCTGCAAAAAACAGTTGAGAAGTTCTCTTAATTCGTCTTTAGAGTAAATCTCCTTTTCAAGTATCATTTGCAGCATTGACTGCCGGAAATCTACGTAAGGATCGTCGGAATCTTTCTCGACGGCGACACTCTCGCCGCCGATTCTACCGAATCCTTGAACAGCTCGTTCAGCGTCGGAGGAGTAGTGTGCCGGAGACGGAGTTGGAGATGGAGAAAAAGTGGTTGCGGTTGTGATCGTAGAATTAGAGAAAGAGTACTTATTGTTGGGGGTTTTGTGATGGTTGAAGACGGCGGCGCTGTCGGCGGAGTGGTGGCGGCGGGGTTTAGGGTGGAAAATGCTGGAAAATTTGGGCCGGATACAACTGCTACTGCAGCCCAATTTTACTGTAACGTTACGTAAAATAACCCTTTTTTTGGTTGTTGACATTGCAGAATTAGCCAGAAATTTTGCAGAGCTTTTTTTTTTATATGAATTTGTTTTTTTTAAGGTAAGGTATAATAGTGAATAGTTTCACTGAAATTGGTAAGTGATGGAACATATAAATTCTACATGTCAACTGAAAAAACTGCATTAAATAATATCTTTATCTACCTTATCGAAATATACTTGTTTCAATTTATGTGACGATATTTGATTAAAGCAATAAAATATTAAAAATATTTTTATCTAGTACGATTTACATCTCTTATGTAATTTGCAGACTATTACACGAGGAATTTACATCTCCTATATGATTTGCAGATTATTACACTGTGAAATGTGACAAATTCGACGAGTTATCCTAGGGTCTTAAAAAAAATGATAAGAGTCAAAAATTTAAAATTGAATTATTTTTAAATAAGAAATTCATTTACTAGCTTTGGTAATGAGTCGCATGTAATTACTTTTGTAAATAATAATCGGATTATATTAAGTACTACTGATAATTTTTACATGAACGATGCAGTACACAGCTTAAACCTAAAATTAATTTAATTTAGATAACACATATGATGCATTTATTTACTTTGCAATCAATTGTGAAAATAATTTTTCTTAATATTCTCTATTGCTACTCTAACAGCCTCTTTTTTTTAAATTCTTTCTACTACTCTAAATAGACAAGTTGCCTAATTAAAACTAATTAATAACAACTATATTGGTGACTAATAATTAATGATGACAGCCATGAATATTATGGTCCCTATTTTTTTTGTTAAAGAAACCTTAATTACCTCCTTTAGTTTGAAATCGACAAATTAAACATAAAAATAATGTTTTTTTTCGTTCACTTTTAGTTGTTATAGTTTTCTTTTTTAGATATACTTTCTCCGTTCACTTTGAAAATAAAAATATACTTAATATGACTTTCGAAAAATATAACATTTCAATTATCTAGTGGGGCACAAAAGTCATATTAGAAGAAAATAATATATACGCTTATTTATAATTAGTTCTATCACTCCAAAATCGAGGGTCAACATCGACATATAGAGTAGATTGTAAATCGTCAATTTCCATGAATCTAACGATAGGTTTCAGTTCAAAGTTGACGGATAATTGATCATGTTCGTTGGTTTTTGGAACGAGTTTTAGAAAATATTTTTTTAAAATGTAACAATTGAGGATTAAACGCAAATATTTTTTGTGAATAATTCTATCACTCGTCCACACATTTTCTTTGATAGAAATATTTTTATCATTTTTATTTTTACTTTTCAACTATAATTTCTCACTTTAAAAAATAAATTATCAATTTTTTCTGTTATATCAATAAAAATACAATCGAAAAAAGCTAATTCAAGAACATAACTTCTCTCAATTATATCATAACTTCTCTCAATTATATCACTTGTGAAGTAATGAAAAGTGCCTACCCTATCATCATAAATATAACTCATGCTTAGTAACATGATAAAATAATTATCAACTTGTTATAATAAATCAAAATTAAACTAATAACTTATATATAACTTTAATTAATTCAGATAATTATTGATTTTTTCCCCCAATTTGTACCACCATATAGTATGTAGTACGTAGATATTAATTATCCAACAGATTTCATAAATGCAAAGACAAAAATGGAGCAATAGAAACATTTTAAGATCTAGGACATTATTATAATCATGAGAAAACTGTGTGTGGATAGGCAGTCCATGAAAACTCTGCAAAATCATAAATTTTATATTAATTGGTTTCGGTTTGATTTTATATAGTTTGATTTATTAATTTTTGGTTTTTAAATATGTTAAATTAATAATTAAATTAATAAAAAAATCTTTTTTTGATTTATTAATCTTAATCTTTAACAGTTTTATTTTCAGTTTGATCACTAAGAAAATGCTTATAAAATAAATATATAACTTCTCCAAAATTATGACGCGACGAGACAATAATATAACTTCAAAAATGCTCATAATATAGAAACAATAATAATTTACATGAAAAGAATTATACAAATGTAACACTAAGGAGAAATTAGGAATAACTTCTTACTCTAGATTTCGAATGTAACGTTGAAGTTGTGAACTCAAAATTTACTAATGTGAAACGTGAATCAAAAACTAAAGGTTAAAAATAGGAACTAATAAGACATCGAGATTAACAGTTAATATATATGTGCGAATAAAATAATATTGTACTATTAATGAGTTATTGATTTGTCCTTATTAAAAATCAAAACCAAATTAATAACCTGATAACGTCTTTTTATAAATTAAAATCAATAAAAACTCGTTATTTCAATAATTCAATAACAACACTTTTTCCAATTCAATTTATCGATCTGTCTTATTTTTCATAGCCCAACCAAAATTCCCCCAACAATTCTCCTCTGAAACTTCTCTCCACGTCTATAGTAATGTTTTTATTTTCTCCAAAAAGTCCAAACTCAATTTTCTTCTAAAAAAAAGAATTAAATGTTTTTAAATAAAATGAAAGTCAACTAAAAATTATTTTAATGACGAAAATACCCCTTCCACAAGATAAATTCAACTATCTTTTGTGAATCCCATAAAATCTTAACTTCCCTACTATTACGTGTAAAATAAAATACTATTATTCCTATTTTTAAGGCAAAATATTTTTTTAAAAAAAATCAAAATTACTCTTTTTTCTAACTTCTACAAACCGTTGTCACCCTTCACATAGAACTATTTCATTATCGTATTATTAATCATCTAAAATAAAAGAAATAGATTTTTCATGTATCTTCATTTTATTTTGAAAATTATAAAATTAATATTTTAAGAAAATTTATTTATAAATATTTTTGGGTAAATTCACCGGATATATTACTTCAACTTTTCTCTCCAAATACTCGTATGATTAATTTAAAATTATATTTCATTGCATTAATATGATGTTTTTTTAAAAAAAAATAATGTTTTAATTACGATGACCAAAAACACAAAGTAAGACTGCTTCTCACGTTTGTCAATAATTATAAGTAAACGAATTATTCTAATTTTACGTTTCCTATTAAATTAGTGTCTCTTTTTTTTTAAAAAAAAAATAATAATTTCCTGCCCTTTTTCCCTCTCTCAAACTATATATTTTGGCAAATATTATGTTTTCATAATTAATTCCTCTTTCATTATTGAAAACTGAAACAAAAATTGTTAAAATTTTGTTTAGATGGTTACTAAAAAGATTTCAATTATTTGATTAAACACAAGGCATTTTGGAGTATAAGATGTTGGGAAACTTCATTACTAGCGTTTTAATGTAAGGTTTTCTTTTTTTTAATTTTGTGATTTTTGTAATTTTTTTTTTTACATATTTAGATGATTGAATTATTGTTTTTGTGGATTTTTGCAGATTGGTTCTTGGATATGCATATCCTGCTTTTGAATGTTTTAAAACAATTGAGAAGAACAAAGTGGAGATTCATGAACTTAGATTTTGGTGCCAATATTGGTAAAATTCTCTTATTTTTATCATCAAAAAGTTGATTTGTAAGTGAATTTGAACAATTTAGAATTCGATGTTTGAGAAATTGGACCATTAGTTATTTATCAGAGTCTATCAAAAATAGTGTATAATTAAAATTATACTGATATATTATTGTTGTGTATTATGAGTACAAACAAGAAGAATATGATAACGAAATGGATTAAAGTTATTTATAGTAAAAGTACTAGATATATATTTTACGTTATTAAAAATGTAGTTTAACCTATTATATTAGGGTAGTTTAGTGTTATTTTCTCATTAATCATAGAGATTTTTCCATAATTACCTTATTAGACTAATCTACTAATGTTTCTTTACACAGTTGGTGAGTATAACTTGAACTATAATGAGATTCATTCATGATTTGGGTGCTTGAAGGAATTTAATACATCCTTAATAAATATAACTAAATAGAGGATTAAGTTTGTTAAACAAGTCTAGTTTCATGTGATATTTGTCAGTTTTTATCAGTACAAATATCATTCATCAAGACTATAATTCTATCAGAAGAATTCATTTAGTGTCTTCGAATTAATTGCTAAGTAAAAAATGTTTGTTTTCAGGATCATTGTTGGGGCTCTGAGAATCTTTGAAAGCTTTGGTGATTTGTTTTTGTCATGGTATGTTCACTTTGTTACTACATTTATAATATTTTACCAAAAATGATACTACCAATGTATTAAATTTTTGTTGTTTTTTGTTTAGGTTACCAATGTATGGTGAGGCAAAATTAGCACTTTTCATCTACTTATGGTATCCAAAAATAAAAGGCACATCACATATCTATGATACAATATTGAAGCCATTTGTTGCAAAGTATGAAACAGATATTGACAGGAGTTTAATGGAATTTAGAGCCAAGGCATGGGACTTAGCCATTTATTACTGGCAAAATTGTACAGAAATAGGTCAAGCAAAGTTCTTGCAAATGCTTGAGTATATAGCTTCTCAATCTAAAAGAGGAACAATACACCCTAAATCCGAGGTAACGTTTACTTGACATATATTACCAGTTACACAGTTATACTAACTTGAATATGATCTAAACAAATGATACTACTAAACGATATTAGTCAATTTTGACTTCTCTTGTCGATTAATTTGAAGTTTTATTTATTTGCAGAAACAAGATGAGACAACACATCGATCATCTTCACCGACGATTGATCACAAAGATTTTTATGGTGCAAGGGCAAAATTAAGACGTTCCAACAAAGGGGACTAGTTAGCCAAATAGTGGCACAACAACGTAAACGTTTTTTTATTTTTTTTTGTATATTTTGTAAAAACAAATGTGAGCAAACTAATTTTTTTAATGATTTCTATTCTTTTCTATTTTATTCAATTTTCTAGTTTTGACAGAATTATATAACAAATGGAATTCTTTTGGTTATTATATTATACTCCTATCGTTTCATTAAATGTGATATTTTTTGAATTTTGAGATTTAAATAAGTATTATTAATTATAGATTTTTTTTATAAATTTTTAAATTATTAATTATTGTGACATATATTATTTTTTACGTAGATTATAAAATATATAAATTTTAGTTCAAATTATTTATAAATTCCATACGCAAATTGTTTAAGGTGAGCTGGGAGTTTGTATATAGGTGGCCCATACAATGAACTCTATTTTTCGAATTTATTCTTAGTGAATAAGCAAGACGTTCTCAAAATAGACCAACAAATATAAATATTTAAGAATTTTTTATTATTATTCTATTACATTTTACAAAAAAATCCACATCCCTGTAATGAGAGTGAAAGATATATGTATCATAATAACAAAATTAAACATTCTGAATAATCGACTCATTTATTAAATAAAATCTTACGAAATCTTCCTTCTTTTATCTTTACACGAGAAAGTAACTTATAAATCTTATTACGACCATTTCTCTTTGATTGTCCCCTAATTCCATGTATTCACGACTTAAGATTATGAAACCAATAGATGACATATTTATTCACCGATAAGAACGAATAATGCAAACAAAAATAATTATTAGCGATATTTAATTCTTAATCATCGCTAAATATGTATTTTTAGTGGCAATTATCGCTCTTTGTATATGTTCCTAAAGCCTTCAGCGACATTAATTTTAATATCACTTAACTAATGCTGGTAAGGACTTTAACACTTTTTATTAGTGTCAATATTTAATGTCGTTGAAAGTTGTTTTGTTGTAGTGGTAGTAGATTAATAAGTATTGATTCATCTATAATTATTTAGATTCTAGATTAAGGTTTCTTAATTAAAAAATGTTTTATATTCGATGTAAATATTTTAATATGAATTTTGATATAGATATCAAACACAGAATAGAAAACCGAAAAAAGCCCCTTAACCATAGACCAAAGGCCAAAATCCTTCCACAACATATGAATCAACTTATCCACCAAACCCTACACTTAACCATTTCTCCACCTTTAACACTCCAAATTCAGTAGATAAGGCCAAATTCTTGTGGAGCTACCCTATCTTTATCAGATACCCTTTTCTCTACTCTCCATTCACTACTCATAGAGCCTATTTTCACTCTTTCCAATGGCTTGCTCTGCTTCTTCTTCAACTGCTCTGCTTTCTTACACTTCCAGAGCTTCTATTTCACCTAAATCACACATTTCTCAATCAATTTCCGTTCCTTCTGCTTTTAATGGACTTCGTAATTGCAATCCCCTTGTTTCTCGTGTAGCTCGTTCAATCAATACTCGGGTTGCTCAAGCAGAACGCCGTCGTTTTGCTGTCTGTGCCTCTGTAAGTTTTTCTAGGACCCCTTTTTGTTTTGCTTGGTTTTATTGCATTTTGAGTTGATTTTCTGAAACTATGAATGTTTTTGGAAAAAGGGTTTACTTTAATTCTGGGGAAAGTTTGTTTCTTTACACACTTTTTGAAGGAGTTCATAATTAAACACTTTTCGAAATCTTAGTAGGTCCGTTGGTTAGTTGGGGGGTTTGATTTTCGCTTCCCCTGGCCCCTCTATATAATTAAAAGAAACACTTGTCTATTCAATTTTATCACATCCATTTGTGAAACTGTCATCATTTTGTTATTACTGCATTTGTGTTTTGCACTTGAATTTGGAAGCTCAATGTTGTTAGTTTGAATGGAAAGGCACCGTGTACATTGGCCTGAGGCTTTCAGGCTTTAGCATTGTTTTTAGCATACTTTATACTTTGAATTGTAAGGCAGTGTAAATTGTATTTATGGACTTGTCTTGAGGGAAATGGGAATTAAAAATTATATGTTAAGTTATATCTAAGTTGGTATTGGTAGAGTGGTAAACTGGAGTTCATATCTAGGATTAACTATAATTGTATGTTGTGTGCTTTATAATAGTGATTTTAATTAGAACTAATGACCACCCAATGTATAGGATAACAAGTATTGAGCTTGGCTATCTAGTAGATATTAGACTACGTATAAACCAGTCAACTTAGTTTCTGTAGAGAGACCAGAAGTTGCAAAAGAAGACCAAGTAAAATTAAAAGGATTTTTTTTCTCGAGTTCTTAATAGTTTCAAGAACTTACGTTTTCTTTTACCTCAGGATTCTCTGTGGTGGTTGTGCTTCTTTTTAGATCAGGATTCAGCTATCTAATGTTGTTTCATGTATGTTTTCATATATAGAGTGAACTCCCACTTGTTGGAAATCAAGCACCAGACTTTGAGGCTGAAGCTGTTTTTGATCAAGAATTCATCAAGGTAATATATTTGTGTCATTTTTACTTACCTGTTATTGGACAAAAAATGCTTAATTCCATTCAAAAAGTTTGCTTAGTTTTAGATGTCCGAACATGAATAATATATTTATTTATCTGTATACAGATTTAATTTATGACTCTATAGTCTATACAATAAAATCATAAATATTTGATATTATCACTGTACGTTTAACCCATTAACAACTTGGTTCGTATTTTTTCCTTTTTTTCTGAATTATGCTTTAGTTTTCATTAAAATCATAAGAAAAACAGATTTATGGTTTAAAGGTGAAAGGTCCTGCATGAAATATGAATATATTTAAATTGGAGTAGTTTCGTCTTTTTTCCTACTGTTTTTTCGGCTCACTAGTTGCTATATTTATCTGGAGTTTTGTTGGAATAATGCAGAGTAAGGGATGTAAACGTAATATTTAAAACCACATAGGAGGTTAGTGTTGCAAGCCTAAGTATCCAGGTGGTTCCTCTAATAAGAGAAAAAAATAAACATTCGTCAATCAGTCAAATCTCATTTCTAAAATACTCTGTGTCAGCTAAGTTGCATTACCTTGTCAGCTAAGAATAACCACCATTGCTAAATTAGAAATCCTGAGGGAGTGTATTTTGTTGGCTAACTCATCTGGTTGCAGTTGGTGATGGAAATGAGGACATAGTAAGACAGTGTGTCATACCACCTCAATATGCAACGTTTCCTGCTGATCTTAAACTGTATGAAGTTTTAGATAATATGGCTTAGGTTCTTACTTTCACTTCTGGATCTGTTTAGGGACTATTTGACATTGGCACAATTAATTGAATTTTATAAATTGTATCTGCAGTTTGCAATTACAATAATCCTTTTTTATCCAGGTTAAATTGTCTGAGTACATCGGGAAGAAATACGTGATTCTCTTTTTCTACCCGCTAGACTTCACATTTGTTTGCCCTACAGGTTGGTTTGTCCCTGAAATTTCTCTGCTGCCAATTTCAGATTATTCGTATTAGTTTTCACTGACTATTTAGGTTGCAGAATGTGTTGTTTTAATGTAATATCTTTTTCTGTTACTGTAGAGATCACTGCTTTCAGTGACCGTTATGAAGAATTTGAAAAGGTGAACACAGAAATATTGGGTGTTTCTGTAGACAGTGTGGTAAGTATTCTTTGCTTCAATTTTCCATTATGAAGTTATTAATATATCAGCTTGTATGTGTGTGCTCAGTTCTTTCAGTTTGTGCATTTCATATGCTTACTTCAGTATCATGTGATAGTTTAATTGTTATTTCTTCAATTTGCCTATGAAGGGTTAGTTTAACTTAAATGGTTTGTAAGATCTTTAAGATGCCCATATTCCTTCGGGGGGATAATTGGGGCGTGGACACAAGGGCTTTGTGATGTTGCATTTGTGCTGCTAACCACTTTCACTTGTTCGCAACTCTGTGTATCTTTGTAGTATGGCTTTAAGCAGAAGACTTTAACATCTAATTTGTCTGCATAGACATGAGCAAGGGTTCCTCATCACTTTTTCTTTCGCTTCACAGGAGTGAGAGGGTGGGTTGAGGTTGGTTAGGAGTGGATCTAGGAGACGTTCAAACAAAATTCATTATCTTAAGAAAGATGTGGTAATATTTGGTGAAAGAATCTCTTAACCGGATATAAAGGAAGAATTTTCCCCATAAAATAAGAAAACTGTAAAGTAAACAATTGGACACACCGAGCCAAGTTGGTTGTTCAGCTCAACTTATCGGATTCGAACAAGTTTGGCTCAATTCCCTGAAGTTTGGATTTAGGTTACCTGGAGAAAAGTTATGTATGCTTAATTAGAAAAACCCTTGGCCAAGCAAGACCGCAAGACCCCATTTCTCAGAGTTGAACCCTTGACCGCTGCTTGTTGGGTTCAACTTTCCAACACCTTAATCTTTGGACTGAAGGGATATTATTGCGGAGAGGTTGAATTTTCTTAGCCTTTATTTCTTCAGCGGCAGTCACTGAAATAGCTTATGACTTGTGAGAAACTCTTGTACAATGAAATTTATATATACTCCAAAAAGTTGTTTGACGAGAAATAGTGTTCAGGTTCTTTTGGGAGTAGATGATACGTTTCTTTTTCCTTTTGTCCCCTTTGTTCTTTAATTTTAAGCTCCCAACTTGTAAAATGTAAAATTGTGGTGCCTCAGTTATGGAGTTATTTGCAATTATTCAATCGTAATATCCAATGATTTTTGTCGCTATTCTCTTGAGTACCTGTTTGATCTTTTATTATTGATTTCATGCTGTTGCTCTTGCAGTTCTCCCACCTTGCATGGGTCCAAACTGAGAGAAAGTCCGGTGGTCTAGGTGATCTGAATTATCCATTGATTTCTGACGTAACCAAGTCAATTTCAAAAGCATACAATGTACTGATCCCTGACCAGGTATGTCGTTCTAAGAGTTCCTCGTAATTGGTTCGATGGTTTCTCGTGGCTTACACATTCTAGTGCTAAATGGAATCAATTACCTATGTTTTCTTCAGGGGATTGCATTGAGAGGACTTTTCATCATTGACAAGGAAGGAGTTATTCAACATTCAACCATTAACAATCTTGGAATTGGTAGAAGCGTCGATGAAACATTGAGAACTCTTCAGGTATAAATCGACCATTTTGCCCCTACACATTTCAGCGTCGTAGTGATTTGCTTATAATTGCTTTGGGTGTGGCAAAAACAGGCGTTGCAATACGTTCAGGAGAACCCAGACGAAGTGTGCCCAGCCGGATGGAAGCCAGGGGAGAAATCCATGAAGCCTGACCCCAAGGGCAGCAAAGAGTACTTTGCATCCATATAAGGAGATGAATTACATTGCTTTTTATCTAATTTGTTGTTTACAGGAGCTGGAGGGAGAGAACAGTTTTCTGCAACATTTTTTTTAAGGTACTGATCGACTTTTTCGCATTTTTTTTGAGAATAAATATGTATTCTAATGTCCGTGGTACGTATTGGCCCAACAGACCTCACAGATTTGTCCCTTGAGCCACACTAATATCAAACCAAACCAAAAGTGCACGTACCAATGCTACTACTCATCTAAGGGACGAATTTTTATTTTAACTACTTGGTTTAAAATGTTTAAAAATATTTTATAAGAATAATTGATTAGATCATATTCTATTGAAAGATTCCAAGTATTTTGGAGTCAACCATTTTTCATTGAAATGGTTTACTACCAAAGTCTTTCTATTAATTAAACATAATTAACAATTGATCACATAGCCACCAAACAATCATAATTATGAAACATACTATTTCTTTGTTGAAATAGATTTTATTGTCTGTTTTGTAATCTAAAGTTTATCAAAATAAATAATAAATTTCATTAATGATTCAATCTTGAAATTAAATTAAAACTAAGACAATGTTTTTATACGAGCAGACATACACTACTTGGTATTCAATCAACTATTATCGGAATAACTAAAGCACATATATTATATAGAATTATACTACTTGGTAAACATACACAAAAGCATAGTGCCTTGAACAAAATGAACCTTCATCAGATCCACAAAAACTTTATACTCTTTTAAAGCATATAATGCCCTAAGCTATTTGGACATCCACAATTCCACAAAAAACTGATGCTATATATTTTTTTTTTCCCTTCCATACTTGTATACTGAAATTTTCTAAATCCCAAAACCATATACTAAAATAAAAAAGTGACATTTTTTTTTTCATGTAGGAACAGTAGATTCAGGTGCATAATTGTATCTTTGAATTTCATCCTCCCATATCAACTTCGATATTATTTCATCCTTCTCTGGTACATGTTCCTGTAACAAAACGAGAAAAAAAATAATCAACAAAAGTATATGACCCCGTAGAATATACTAGGTATGTTGTTGTTATCGTTTATTCAAAGATATGATATTTAATAACGAGCGCAGTTTCAATAATCATTATGCCATATATTATAATAGCAAGTTAGTAGTATATAATGAATCTACACAACTTACAATATTTATTTAACTAAATAAAACTATATAGTATAAACAATGTGAATATATACATACCTCAAGTTCTCTGATCAACTCTTTGGCTGTTGGAGCAGACACGATTATTCGACGAGCAATAGGAGAGATAAAGCCTTCATCAACAGCCTTATCGATAAAAGACAACAACGAATTATAGTAACCTTCAACGTTCAACAACCCCACCTGCATCGTTAGATTATATGAATATCAACGATGAAACGGTGTTCAATTACATACGAAAATAATCATTAAGAAGCATTTTCTTGCCATTCAAACAGGATTATGAAGAATGACAATGATTAGGACGTGCAAATCACTTGTATAATCTTTCCATGTGAACTTGAGACTAATAAAAACCACGTCCTTCGATACCATTGTTGACTTGAAATGCAGAATCCCAGCAGGATTAAAATAAGGTTATGTCGTGAATAAGGTAACACAAGTCGAAAAGAAAGGGCAAAATGGTAAACACTTGTAGCTAAAAGCTTTGTACCAAGACAGGTGTGACAACATCTGTGAAGAGTTCAAGCTACATTTTTTGACCAGACGAGCGTTTAGCACAACAAAAGTAAGCCTAATAGGTCAGCGGAGAATGATGACATACAGTAAAAAGGTTAAAAATTCAAGCAACGACTATCTTCACCAGAAAGTTTCATTGATTTCTTTGCATTCCAAGGGAAGATATTCTATGTCAAAACTTAAAAAACTAATTTATCGTACTTTTTACTTGAGAGTATATGCTTATCATAGGTACTTCCATTGGAATGTTTCATTTTAGACCATAAATTAGTCAAGACCTACCACCACTACTAAATGTAACGTAAAGTAATCTGAACAAAAATGTAGAATGCTTACTGGTTTCTGATGGATTCCAAGCTGAGCCCATGTGATGACTTCGAGAAGTTCTTCAAGAGTACCATAGCCACCTACAAAATAAAGCACAACGACGGTTCATTATACCGATGTCACTAAAGTATACGACACAAACACTGAACCAACAACAAATAAGGGTAAAGGCTTAAATTTACCAGGGAGGGCAATGAAGGCGTCAGCTTGACGGGCCATTTCAGCTTTCCTTTGATGCATACCAGACACTGCTCTCAATTCTCCAATAGTTTCTCCAGTTAACTGTTGCAACATTTAGGGCCACATATAGATTTAGCATATGCTTATACAAGAAATTGACTCAGTAGAAAGCGATTTTCCAAGTTTGTAGTGAACAGTACCTCTCTAGGCATGAGAGTCTTTGGAATCACTCTGCAATAGAAAACCCAGAATTAATAAATCAGCAAAACAGATAACATGTATAGTAGCACATTAATATCGCCCAAAAAGTAGGTCTCTGTAATGTACTGCGCACTCTATGCTGAGATGTGTTGATCGGACACTCCAAAAATGTGGCTGCACCAGTGTTGGATCCTCCAAAAATGCATTACTTTTGGAGAATCACACATGCACCGGTCCACGTTACTGAAGAGAGTCCGAGCAATATATGTGCTCAATACTAAATTTCTTTTTACATGTATAGGAATTATTTGCTTGTTCAGACAACAAAAGTAAATAAAGAAACATTTGATCCCATGATGTCTGCCTTTTAGGTAGTCCTCATGAAAGCCATTTTATTGAGAACTGAGATACTTTCAATGTAAAAAGATCTCAACTTTAAAACACTACTCGGACTAATCAAAAATGTATTGACAGTTAACATGTCGAATCCTCCAAAAACAGTACATTCCTGGAGGATCCAACACAGGAGCGAAAATAGTCCAAACACTATGATTGAACAAACCAAACAACAAACTAACTATTGCAGAAGCTAGTCCTTCAGCTTCAACTTGTTTGTCTTACTTTTCTAGTTTCCGTTTAGCTTTAAGACCCCAACATTAAATTTTTTCTTTAGTTCTTTAAATTTACAAACAAATAACAAACTGAAACGGGGAAAGTAAAACGCTTACCCTAGAACATGGCGACCGCCATCATGAACAGCCTGAGAAACAAGTCCCATCAACCCCACACTTCCACCTCCATACACTAAATCAATCCTCCTCTCCACCTTCATCAAAACACACACACATCAAAATCACTAACAAAACTATTATCATAAATCCAAAAAAAAACTACTGCTCCTCAATTTCTCCAAAACTTAACATACTAGCAAAACATGCAATCATTAACAAGAAGAAATAAACATTATTATACTCAATATAAAATCCATTTTATAAAGACGTGCCAGAGAATGGCATTTTTAATATTTTATTATGCATGTGGATATATTCATAAGAACTAAGCAAAATTTTTGAACACATTTGCAAAATGTCATGATAACAAGGTGGCACGTTCTGTTCCCTATGAAAAAACATGAATTTTTTTTTTTCAAGAACTGAAAAATTCTTAACAAAATTTAATTAGATCATGCAAGAACACTGCTCAACTAATTACAGGCAGGCTACAGCTAGCAAAAAAAAAAATTTATCCTAAACACACAAAAATACCATTCTTTGCTTCTCTTTCTCATGCCAAACGTAAGGTTTTTTCTTCTTATTTTACAAAATCACAATCATATACCAAACTAGAAAAAGTTTGGTTCTTTGAGCAAAGTAAATGTGAAAATCAACAAAACAAGAAAGAACAAACAGTACCAAAATGAAATACAGCATACAGACTAAATAAAAGAAACTATAAAAATGGGTTCTTGATTTTGATTTTAGTTTTCTTATGAAACATTATAAAGATCTCTCTTATGTTAAAAAGTTGGAAACATACACCACCAAATGATATGGTGCAGACCTATATCGAATTTCGAGCCCTAAGATATGAAAACTAAAAAAAAAACTTCCATCGCAAACACTTTTACCCCAAATGGGGTTATATACAAATAATGAACTTTAATATGGCTATCTAGCGAGTAATAAAAAACATAGAAACTGAAAAGATACATAAATGGGGCTTTAAAAAATCATGTTTTTCAATGAAAAGTATAAAACTTTTTGCGTTCTCATGTAAACAAGCTTAAAAATCAAATCTTTATTCATAAAAAGCACAAAACTTTCTGATTCTTGAAAATAAAAAAACAAAAAAACAAAGAGGTTTAAAATAGTTACCAGTTCTTTGCCTAAATCAATAGCAGCTTCTTGATAACTAGTTTTTTTCCCAGAACTGCTACCACAAAACACACAAATTCTATTAAATTTTGAACTTTCAACTTTCTCCATTTTTTTGTTTGTTTTTGTTTTAAGGGAGCGAGAAGAAAAGAGAAAGAAGTTGCAACTTCACTTTTTGTCTTTACATGAAAGTAGGACTACTTTATTTATAGACCCTTTGGTTAGCTACTAAGGAGTAACTTTTTTAAAAAAAAAAATTATTTAATGATTTTTAATTACATACAATAATGACAAAATTAAAAAATTCTATAAAATAGAGTTTGGAAAAGATACTAATAAAATTAAATATAATTTTATAAAATAGAATTTGGAAAAGATATGACATCTGAGTTTAATTTTATTGTCATTTTAGGTAGAAAAAATATTTCTGATTAATTTATAATTTTACTTTTTTAATTGATAATTTACAAGAAAATAATTGTTGATTTTTATTTAATGATTTTATACCATATACAACAATCGTAATTTTATTAATAGATCTGAAAAATATATGTCATTTTAGTGTTGTTCTCACTTTTTATGGTTTTTGATTAATTTTGTAATTTTACCTTTTTATTTCTAATTATTTTTAAAAATAATTGCTAATTCTGTAATGATTTTATATTACACATTATAACAATAAATTATATATAATTCTATGAATGGAGTTCGAAAAAGTTACAATATCTTAAGCATTATTCTCACTTTTATGATAGAAACTAAAAAGATTATTCCTAATTAATTCATGTACCTTTGCTTTTTTTATTTATATATATTGATAATGTTAAACAAGGTCATACGTGAGTCTATTTTATATTTATTTATTTCATTTTTTTAATCTATTAAAAAGGAACTATAATTTTATTTAATTACTTTTTTATCATAGATATTTTAAATCACGAAACTAAAAAATTTATTGCATACTTTTTATATTTCTTTAGTTTAGAATTATAAAAATTTTAAAACATTATACTTTAACATTTAATAATAAATTAAAATTGAACAAATAAATTAAAACAAAAATTACACACCTAAACATAAGAAAAGCTTACTTAAAAAAGTTTTGTCTATAAATATGTCTATATTGATGGAATCAATTAGTATATTCTTTTTGTCTTTTATCTTTACCTTCTCAACCAAGCAATTGACTATTTTAAATTATACAGGATAATATCCATTTTTATAAACTTTAATAGAAAAATATTTTATAAATCATAATCTTTTTTCCAATTTTTTAATTGATCTTCTTTTAATTAAATTTAAGACTAAAGATTTGACCTTCTAGATATCAAAATATATATGTGTCCATCAAAAAGATCCAAATATTATTTATAATATGAAAATCAATAGCTGATTCAAAAAATAATATACATTAATAACTAGAAATTTTTACATATATTCAATTGATTTATTAATACTAAGAAATATTATTAAATGCAAATGAATCTACTTTTATTAAAACTAAATTATTGAAATATTTTTTTTTCTTTATACAAATAAATCACATAATTTGTCTTATGACGTTACCACTTACGTAGTTGGTTCTTTCTTAAAATTGCCCATTTTAACATGCTAATTTATATAAACAAAATATATATTAGTGAAGAGTTTACTACATACAACTAGCATTAAAAATAATTAGCACTTAATTAGCACAATTTTAATTATTTAATCTTTTTTTATTTTCTAATTAGCATGCAGCTCACATGTGAACCATATACGACCGCGTCATTTGCTTAATCTTGTTGGATTATAAAACTAATTATTTAACTATTTTAATTGATTCCTCTTTTATTTTGGTAAATTATAGAGTAGTTTGGTGTAATAACAGGTCATGTATTTAAATTTTTAAATATGAAGTTGCTTTAATAAAAAAATACTTATATCATAATATATCAAAAATTTAATACAAATTAAAATTAATCGATATTTAAAATAGATATTTATGAAAAAAAGTCATTTTTCTCACGACTCTCAAATATAGAGCCATACCGGGGATCTGACAGGGGAATGGTAAGGTGCATTGTACCGTGTTAGAAAAATCGTCGTTTGATACGTGAAATAAGATAAAATTAAAATTAATATTTAATAAATTTATGATAAATTTTTTTGAACCAACTAAAAATAATTTTGAATTTTATATGTTATATCTTATTTCATTTAATTTGATATTATTTTCTATATGATATTAGTCTTAGATTCCTTGAATTTTAATACCAGAACTATATATAATCTTGGTGTTTAACTTCGTTCTAGCATTGATTTGTTTTTAATTATCTCATATTTAATTAGATCATTAAATTTTTTAAAAATATTTTATCTAGAAAATAATTTTTTTAAAAAATAAGTTTTATTGTCTCCGTCCTATTTCTTAGAACAATCTCTTGATCATCTCATCTTCGTCACTTTAAATACCGTTTACTTGTCAAATATTAAAAATAAGTTAAAAATTGATTAATTTTTAAGAAAATATTTTTAGTAATATAATATAATTATGAGTCCTATATATTACATCTTATTTCATTCAATGTGATATTATTTTAGAGATACTAGCCGTAGTCTCCAAGGATTAATAATCTCGGAGTAACTTTGTTTCATGAATCAAATGAGTCATAAGAATATACTGATATTCAACATTCATCATAAAAATAATTTTTGTAAAAATATTTTAATATCGCATTTAATTTGATATTATTTTCTATATGATCATTACAATTACGTCATCTAAAACCTCGCTCACTCGTAAAATATAATTAAAATAAATTTTTGTAAAAATATTTTAATACCAAAAATGCCCTTTAAATGCAATTTGATAGTTGATATATATTTAGCAGAAGTGACAATATAGGCAATGATTGTGTTTTGTGATTGACACACCTTCTTTTTATTTGCATTGAAAATCGCAAGAAATTACTGCACCATCTTCCTTCTCATTCACATAATAACCCACAAAATAAGGGAGACGTGAAAGTTCACAATTATTACAATTTACCTTACCCAATAATCACTCCTAAGTCTCTCGGAACGGAATAAATAAGGATATTTAATAAATTTATATTTATTTTATATATGTATTAATAAAGAGTAGTGAAAATTTTATCAATATAAGTTAAGCGTTATTAGATTTAATATCGCTAAAATTTTTTAAAAGTATAAATAAAAATATTGATTATCGTTAGTTGATTGTTGTCAAATATCACTTTTGATATTGTGTTACTTGTTCATTGTAGTACCTCTATCCTATATTAGATGATATTATTTAAGAAATTATGATAAAATTAATTAATTTCTTATTACTTTATCGCTGCAATTGATTTGGCTTTGGAAGTTTAAATGTATTTTGAAGATTGCACAATTTTTTTGCGAGGTCTAATTAATATGAACAAAGGTCAAAATAATAAAGTGGATCAATCTAATAATGGTGTACAGTAGAATATGCACATATAATATGAAACGAATGGAGTATTATTTTGGAGATGTTCAATAATATTTGTCTATTTAATTATAATTTTATGTCTATTTAACCTTTGATATCGAATATTATTCATTTTTTAATATTTATATAACTTATATTTATAGGGGAGATTCGATAAAATTACCCCTATTATTTAGTGCATTTTAATCCATTTATTGAATTAGCAACAGAGAAGTATTATTGAACGGAGGGTGTATATCTAGAAGAGAATTTTTGAATATTGAATCCTTTGTTTATACCTCTTGATATAATTTATATTCATTAAAAATACTTTTACTCAATTGAAATGGTAGTAGTCTTCAAAAAAAATTACCATTAAGAATTAACGGAATTTTTTATCTTACACTTCAAAATCAACAAATAATTTGAAACAAGATAATATTAATACAATATGAGATTATGTCCACATCAATATAATCCTTTCCATTTACTTCTTAATTAATAGTACCAATATTTACATATTGATTGAATTTTCAAAATGAATATTAAGTTGGATCAAAAGTTATTAAGTTCAGTCAAATTCATATCTTAACAATTAATATTTAATTCCGTTTTTGATGGATACTACATTATATTAATGTCAAATTAAAAATGTATCATAATTTGTCACGAAGGAAAAATATTGATTCCATTCTGTTTTGACATTTAACTAAAAATTGAGAGAACATTTGGACTTGATTTTGTGTGTCATTTTATAAGAATTGATCCTTTAGAAGATATAAAATAATCTAAGTATGACTATATAAACAAATTAAATTAGATTAGAAAAAATCTTAAGTATCACTTTCAATTGTTTTCTGCTAATTATGTGACCCTCATGTATTGGTGTTCATGAACAAATATAATACAATCTTTTTGGTCTTAAAATAAAACAAAAAGTGTTAAGCAAGTAACAGGATATTTTTGTGGTTAATTAATTATTTTCTGTTTATACTGATTTTGTCATATTTTATTTGAATCGGTCACGATCTATTGAAAATAACCTATTTATAGTGACAAGGTCAGAATAATCCTGCATACACAACATCCTCCTCATACAGTAGCGGATCCAAGATTTTCGTTCAGGGGATTTCAAAAATAAAGTATAAACATGTTAATAAGTTGTTAGAAATGAAACACTTTTAGCAAACTTTTTAAAATAAAAGAATCTAAAAAAAAACTTGAAAAACTGAATTGAAAATAAAAAAAATTGAAACCAAAAAAGTTAACATAACGTTGTTATACATATTCACAACCAGCGACGTAAAACTTGATTTTAGAGGGATTTGCCACTACACAGAAATCAATTTCTCCTTGTTATTGAGGGGAGTCAAAACATATATATCTATTAAAATACAAAAAAAAAATTCATATCTATACCGTGTAATTTTTTATCAAGGAGATTCGAGTAAACTTCATGGAACCCACATGGGTCCGCCCCTGTCCTCATACCCTACTTATAGGCAAAAGATGGATATTAAATTTGAAGATTATGAGTACATCCGAAAGAAAGGGTCGGTTCTGCACCACTACGCCCAAGCCTTGCAGGCTAAGGAATTTGAAGAGCTAGCTTGAAAATGTTCAACCCAACCCAATCCTATAAGGGCCAAGGGCTGAG